GGTGGGCTGGGAGCGGGGTGAGCGATGGTGGGGCCAGGGCTGTGGGGTGGTGACGCTGGCTGCTGGCTGCCTCCTCACAGTGCTCACCGAGGACGGGCAGCCCTGCCGGTTCCCCTTCCGCTACGGCGGCCGCCTGCTCCACTCCTGCACTTCGGAGGGAAGCGCCCGCAGGAAGTGGTGGGTCCCAGCTGGGGCAAGGCCTCCCCTCCTCCTGGTCCCCACAGCCCCTCCACCCTCCTGCTCCAGACGGAGCTGACACCAGCAGGTGTGAATGAACGAGTGAATGAGTGGCCGTGAGCGCGGGAGTGGGTGGAGAGAGCTCTGCCATCTCGGGGCTGGGTGGGCAGGCCTCTAGTCTGGGCACGCACGTCACTGCACACATCCCCCCAGGTGTGCCACGACCCACAACTATGACCGCGACCGGGCCTGGGGATACTGCACGCAGGCCTCCGAGACCCGGGAGGGCCCAGGTGGGTGCCTGGGGGTTTGGGAGCCCTGAGCCCAGGCTAGGACGGGGCTGGGCCTGGGCAGAGGTGAGCGTGGGGGGCATCAGATCAATGTGTTGATGGGGGTGTGGGCAGGGGGTCCTGCCTGCAGTGCAGGGGGTGCCCTGGGGTCAATCACACTGTAGGGGGCCCCGCGGGGAAAGAGAAGCCACCAGCTCAGGGGACCGCAGGAGTGACAAGTAGGAGTCTCTCCCAGGCTCTCTGGGGGCCACAGGTTGCTTTGGCCATTGCTGGGAGCAAGACACCCCCTGGTGGTCAGGCCAGGTCCTGCAGCCACACAGGCCAGCCCCTGGGTGGGTGAGGGCCAGTGGGGTCTGCAGGGTGCTGGCAGCCCTGCCTACAAGGGTCCCGGGTCACAAGGGAGGAGACTGTGTTGCCTGATGGGGGGGGTGTCAGTCTTCCAGGGTGCTGAGTGCAGAGCCAGAGGTCCACCTACCCAGGGTCTGAGTGCCGAGTAGGGCTGTGGGAGGAGGCGGCCTGCATTCCCTCCCAGGGCATCCCCCGAGGACCCCAGAAGGGGCATCTTTAAGGTGACAGGCCTGATGGCAGCAAGTAGCGAGGGTCACAGAGTGGGGGTGCAGACTGGCGGGGCTCTGAGCCCCTACCCCACACTCCTGCATGCCCCCAGCTGCTCTGGATCCCTGTGCCTCCAGCCCCTGCCTCAATGGGGGGTCCTGCACCAACACCCAGGACCCTGGCTCCTACCACTGCACCTGCCCCGTGTCCTTCGCTGGCAAGGACTGCGACATGGGTGAGCAGGGCCTGGGGGCTGAGGGGACCAGGCAGGTCCTGGGAGGAGGGGGGCGCCTGCCGCATGCAGGGGGTCGGGCTGCATGGGGGGTGCAAAGAGCAGGGGACTCATGGTGTGGTCCCCAGAGAAATGCTTTGACGAGACCCGCTATGAGTACCTGGAGGCGGGAGACAGCTGGGCCCGTGTGCACCAGGGCCGAGTGGAACAGTGCGAGTGTGTGGGCGGCCACATCCAGTGCGAGGACACACGGCACACAGGTACACCATGTGGGGCGGGGTGGGGGCCTTCCCATTGGGTATCCCCATCCCCCATTCCCACCCTAGGGGAAGAGACTCAGCGAGGGTCACCCAGCCACAGGCACCTGACCCCACCCATGCATCCGGCCCTTTGAGGCCCGAGGCCTAGCTTGAGCCTCCCTGCAGATTGCCTGAGCAGCCCGTGTCTGAATGGGGGCACCTGCCACCTGATTGTGGCCACCGGGACCACCGTATGTGCCTGTCCCCTGGGCCATGCTGGGAGGCTCTGCAACATCGGTGAGTCGCTAGGCCTCAGAGCCTCCTGGGTCGGCCTCCTGGCCTTGTGTCAGGCGGATGCAGCCTCAGGCCCAGGCTCACCACCCACTGCTGCCCACTGCTGCCCACAGTGCCGGCCCAGAGCTGCTTCGTGGGGAACGGCACTGAGTACCGGGGTGTGGCCAGCACGGCAGCCTCGGGCCTCAGCTGCCTGGCCTGGAACTCCGACCTTCTCTATCAGGAGCTGCACGTGGACTCGGTGGGCGCTGCCGCCCTGCTCGGCCTTGGCCCCCACGCCTACTGCCGGTCAGCACTGGCCTGGCATGCCTGAGGCCGCCTCACCCGGGGGGCAGGGTCTGTCCTGGGGGAAGGCCTTCCTGCCCTGGTCTGTCTGGAGGCTCCTGACCCTCTGCCTGGGAGGCTGCCCCAGTGAGAAGAGCCAGGCTGGGGTCAGGCCCACAGGCCCAAGGCCGCTGTGACCATTGGCAGACTGAGCAAAAGGCTGCACCGGGTGGGTGGAAGGGACCCCACCCTGCTAGGTGTCCCCATGTGCCCTCCCTGAAGGGCAGTGTGACACCCACCATCCGCCTCTCCTGCAGGAACCCCGACAGGGACGAGCGGCCCTGGTGCTACGTGGTGAAGGACCACGCGCTCTCCTGGGAGTACTGCCACCTGGTGGCCTGCGGTGCGCATGGCTGGGCAGGGTGGGTGGTGCCGTCCCCACTCCCACACCTGGCCTCCTTCTCTGGAGGACCACTGCCCACCTGAGGCTCCCAGGATGGGGCTGGTCCAAGGCCATGCAGTGGGTTGGTACCAGGAGTCCAGCAGGTGGGCCAGTCACCCAGTCCTCTTGGTAGCGGCTCTTGCCCACCTGAACCATGCAGAGAAGGGGACCAGAGATGATGCTGTGCAGCTGGGTGAATAGCATGGGTGGGAGGTCCAGCAGGCACCCCTGAAGTCAGGTGCTGGGGGTGGGCAGCCCCATGAGGCCAGTTCCCCCCCTGGCCCCTGGCCCCTGGCCCCTGCCCCCATGCTCTCTGACCATCCTGGGCTTGGCTCTGGGGTCCCAAGCTTTTGGGAGGGACATCAACACCTGCCAGGTGAGCCAGGCCACTCTGGTTCCCCCAAAGCCTGTGACTGGCTTCTACAGATGAGGAAACAGGCTAGAGAGTGAGTCCTGTGCCAGGAGGGCAGGGCTGGGCCGGAGCCCTGGACCCCCGTCCAGAGGAGCTGCCCGGGGTGGAGCGGGAGGCGAGTGAACCGTCAGGGGGCCTGAGGATGGTGGCCTGTGGGGACACCTGGGGCACGTGTGACCAGTGACCTGTGCCCCCAGAATCCCTCGCCAGAATCGAGCACCCACCCAAGCAGTCCCTGCTGGCGCTGCCTGACCCGGCCCCAGCCGGACGCCAGACCTGCGGCAGGCGGCACAAAAAGAGAAACTTCCTCCGGCCTCGCATCATCGGGGGCTCGTCCTCGCTGCCCGGCTCCCACCCCTGGCTGGCCGCCATCTACATCGGGGACAGCTTCTGTGCCGGGAGCCTCCTCCACACCTGCTGGGTGGTGTCTGCCGCCCACTGCTTCTCCCACAGGTGAGCAGCTCTGGCCCCAGAGTCCCTGACCCACCACCAATCCCTCAGATGACCCCCCCCACGT